ACAAGCTCAAAAGTTTCCTGGCTAGGCCCTTTGGCTTCCCCAGCACCCTCTCCTGCCAAGCTGGCTCTAAAGTTTGCAGAGGTTTAGGGAAGATCATGGCATGGTTTGGGTTGGAAGGGACCTTAAATGTCATCTTGTTCCACCCCCCTGCCATGGGCAGGGACATCTTCCACTATCCCAGGTTGCTCCAAGCCCCATCTGACCTGGCCTTGAACACTGCCAGGGATGGGGCAGCCACAGCTTCTCTGCGCAACCTGTGCCAGGGCCTCACCACTCTCACAGGGAAGAATTTCTTCCCAATATCCCATCTAACCCTGCCCTATCTCAGTATGAAGCCATTCCCCCTTGGTCTGTCACTCCAGGCCCTTGTCCAAAGTCTCTCTCCAGCTCTCCTGGAGCCCCTTTAGGCACTGGAAGGGGCTCTGAAGGTCTCCCCAGAGCCTTCTCTTCTCCAGGCTGAACAACCCCAGCTTGGCCGGCCTGTCCTCAGTACTTAGGAAGTGGGAAGGGAACCATAAGCCCACCGCCATCTCACCTGTGGCAGGTTGGATCCAACACCTCTCCTGGGTTAATAACACCAGCACTGTAGTCCCAGTTCAGGTTTCAGTCTTGGAGGCACTAGGGCTCAGAGGCAGGGATGAACACAGAGCAGAAGGGGAGGCTGTCACAGCTCTGGTGACTGAACCAGTTTCCAGGCATCTATTCAAATGCAAACAAAGAATCCGCCCAGGGCAGGTAAGGATCCTTTTGCTTGGAAACCCTCCTGGCAAGCTGTAGCCACACAAATGCAGGGTTCAATGAGGGACTTTATTCCCAGCCAGGCTTCAAGCCAGCACAGGAGACTGGGACCCGTGTAAGCATCATATCCCCAGCCTCCAAAATCCCACCACAGCTGCAGGACTTTGGGACGACATCGTCCACACTTCTCCTGGGGACAGAAGCACAGCAAGAACATGAACACCCCTGAGCTCAGGCAGGCAGCCCCGCACTGTTTTGGGGCGAGATGATCCAGGGCTCCTGCCTCCCTGTCCCAATCCCAAAACCTCCCTAGCAGCTCTCACCAACCTCAGGAAATGCTCTAGACTTCACTGGGAGCCCAGAGGGACATCCCGGGGTCCCTTCAGGGGGCCATGGGTCACACTCCCTGATGGCAAGGAACGAGGAGCAGTCTCCTGGGAGAGCAGGAGGACACCTATTCCTCCTAGGGCAGGTGAAGGGGGGGTTCAGGTCCTCCTAGGAGTTGCCCTACATGGGAAACTCAGACCCAGACCTCAGGCTGGCAGCTGCATAGTGTGACAAAGTCAGCACCTCCGCTCAGCTCCAAGCCAAAGTCAGTACCCCAGGATGCTGGGAACCCTCCCTGCTACGTGCCTGCCTGATTCAGGCCAGTCATGCCCACAGCCTGCAGAACAGGCTCAGCTGGCAGCAAGCCTGGCAGGACAGGATGGAGCCTGGGGGAAGAGCTGGCACGTCACCCTGGGAGCACCTCAAACAAACCCACACAGGGACAGTGTTGTCCCCAGGAATCTGGCATCTCTCCCACCATCTTGCCCACGAGAGATAAAGCGCATGGATTTGAGCTGCAGAGCCAGAGGAGCTTCACAGGTCCTAGGGAAAGTACGGAGTGGTGAGGACCTGGACACCAGAAAACATCCCCCATTGCAGCTGCTGCCCACCAAGGCTCCCCAGCCCAGCTGCAATTTAAATTTTAGACAAATTAAGCCTGACCTCTGTTTCCACACCCAGCAACTCCAAGGCAGATAGACAATGACGGAGGGATAACCACATCCCAGAGCCTGGGCTCTCCACCCCTCCTGCACAAATAACACACCCAGAAACACAGCTCCCCCGTAGCACAGGACCTACTTCCCAGGCTCAGTGCCTTCCCAGCAACCAGAGAGGGAATCCAGGCTGGCACAAAGAGCTGGGACAGGGTCTAACCTGAGCATCACATTGGCTACAGCTGGGAGGGGAAACCAGCAGCAGGGGAACAAGGAGGGCTGGGACACCCCTATTAAAGGTTGTTCCCAGCTCACTCCCTAGCACAGGCACTGCTGATCTCTCGTAATTGCCCTGGGCTGGGAGCAGGAGGCAGCATTTATAGCCACAGCCAAGAGAACCAGCTGGTGCTCGTATCCTTGCCTGGAGGAGCCGACTCAGGGTCATGCTTCGGAAATATTTGAGAAGCACAGCAATTAAAGGATTGGAGCTGGCAGTCTGAGCTGTCTCCCTCTGCCTGACCCATTGCCAGCCCATGCCTGCATCCACCTGGAATTGCTCCTCTATACAGGCACACACTCATCCACCTCCTGACACAGTTGGGATGGCAGTGAAATCCCACAGCCCCATCCCCAGAGCTGCTGCCAGCCCCAACAGGCAGGCAGGACTTCTCCCTACTCCCCCGGGACTGCTCCCTGCTCCCCGTTGGCGGCCGTGCCTCTCCAAGATGCTTGCCAACATGTGCCAGCAGCGTGGCATGCATGGCAAGCCCGATCCTGCCTGGCTGCCCCACCAAGAGCTGCACTCCCCTTTGCCATGGGAGGAGCTGGGTTAGGTCACTGCAGTGCTTTGGTGGCTGATACCGAATTATCGAACACTGGCGTGTCCATGTGGCTCACAAGCCTCTGATCAGCAGCTCTGCTTGTCCCAGCATCCCCATCCTCTACCTTCCAGCTGCTCGGCTGGTCCTCATGGGAACCCAGCTGATCCTGCACCCAAAATGGGTCCTCCCACCCTGGAGCATCTTGTTGGTCTCAGGATGCACGTACAGGGGTTGGATGCAGGTTGTCCCTACAGCCTGCTGGCCTGGCCCATATACAAACCGTGGTCTCCCAGAGCTCAATCCAAGGTGGAGAGGGGCCTGAAGAGAAGCAAGACGGGAGCTCCCAGAAGCCACCCGCAGGAATGGAAGCAACAATGGGCTTTCTGGTGCTGGCTGCAGGGCTCTCCAGGGTGGATGCCCCAGCCACCGCCACCACTTCCAAAACCTGCTGTCATGCTGGTGAGACTCGCACAGGGCCTTGGCCTTGGCTTTCCCACGCAGGAGCAGCCTTGGGAAGTGGGAGGAGGAAGCGGATCTGCTCTGTCTTCCTGCCATTTCCTCTCAGCCCTGTGCTTTTTTCTGGCTTTTTATCTCTTGTGGGAGCAGAGAACAGCCTGTGTCACAGATAATAGAGGCACTGACTGACACCACGGGTGCACGTGGAGCGCTGTGTGCACCCCCAGGCCCCCCTCCACTGTCCAGCAGCAGGAGCACTGGGACAGCCCGGGATGCTGGGAGCCAGTTTCATCCTCCAAGCCTTGGCACATTTGCAGGATGCTGCTGGAGATGTGGAGGGAAGCAGGAGGATACTCAAGTCCCCCATCTGGCCAAGGCAGGGTCAGGCCCTGAAATGCTTGCCTGTGGACAGAGAGGGCCCTGCTGCCAGGTGGCAGAGGGAAAAGGTAGGAATGTTAATGGGATACAGATTCTCCCAGCCAACGGGTTTGCTGTGCCCTGGGAGCATGGTCCAGACATGAGGGTACAGAGAGGGGTGGCTGGTGGGGCAGGGAGACCTTTGTGGGTGCCGAAGGACCACAGAGAGCACTGATGCACCCTTGGGGAAACTGAGGCACAAGCCTTCCAAGGGGGTGCATGCAGCCTGCAGGGACCCTATCCCATCCCCATCCCCATGCCAGGACACCAGAGCAGAAGATGAACTCCTGGGCACTGGGACATCTCCTCACTCCAGCTGCACATCCTGCTTCAGTACATCTCAGGGACTGTGCTGCCATGGGGGATCCCAGGCAGAGGAATCCTCTTGCCCAGGCAGGTCCAGGGAAGCTGGGATGCTGACACAGCTCCGGAGGCTGCTTGCAGTGCCAGAGGCTGGCTGCCTGCCCGGGGATGGCAGTGGCAGGCTCAGTCCCAGTGCCCATTGTGCTCCCCGAGGGAGCGGGGCTGGGGGAAGGGACACACCATCCCACAGCATCTGGCCTCAACATGGGGCCAAGGCCACCACAGTCATCCAGAGCATGACCAGCAGGGCCAGAGGCCAGTCACTCCAGTGGGATTAGCACAGGGGTCAGACACCATTCCCATGGCTGCTGGGGTGGGATGGGGCCAAGGAAAGATGTGGCCAGGGTGGGATGAGGCTGGGTTGGAATGGGGCTGGGGTAGGATGGGACCAGCATGGGATGGGGCCAAGGTAGTATCTGGCCAGGGTAGGATGGAGCTGCAGTAGGATGAGGTTGGGATAGGATGGGGCCAGAGTGGGATGGGGCTGGGATGGGATAGGAATGGTATGGGATAGTGCCATGGAAGGATGCAGCCTGGGTAGGATGGGAACAGAACAGAATGGGGCCAGGGTAGGAGCTGTGGAAGGATGGGGTTGGGATGAGATGGGGTTGGGGTGAGATGTGATGAGAACGGGGTAGGATGGAACCAACGTAGGATGTGGACAGGGTGGGATGAGGTTGGGGTAGGATGTGGGATGGGGCCGTGGGAAGGGGACTGCCCTGGCTGCCGGACGCAGGAGGGAGGATGTGCACCACGGCCGGCTGTACTTGAGCGTGCAGGCTGGGGAGGGCTCCGGGAGGATGGAGCGCAGCCTGCCGCATTCCCAGTGTCGCTGTTAGTTTAACAATACCCCGCTGGCCTGCATGTCGGGGCTAATTTTATCCCTGGAGCCAGGCCAAGGCGGCCCTAACTTTCCTCGCTGTGATTTATCCCAGCCATTTCCCTTCAAAAACAAGGCCCCCGTGCCAGCCCCGCTGCCTCCCAGGCAGCCACACGCTGCCCCAGGCCCCGAGCGGTGCAAAGCAGGGCAGGATTTGCCCCTTGGTGGGTTGCTTGAAGAGCAGGAGGGTGGTTACTGTGGGATCCCCTCCCAGGATCATTCCCTCCATGGCACAGGGATATTTGAAGCTGACTGGCAGCCAGGGGATGCTCAGATGCAGAGCTTTCCCCAGGATCCTGAAGCAGCTCCATTTTCCACAGACATCTCCGGGAAGCGGGTCGGTGTTTTTTCTACCAACAATTTTATTGAAAAGGCTGTGGGGCTTTTTTTTTTTTCCCTTTTTTTTTTTTCTCCCTTTTCCCAGTCAGCAGCCATGCTCAAGAAAGAGATTTCCCTTCGCCTCTGGGCATCTAGTTAAAAACTGATCAGTAAAAATGCTGCAGAAAAATGGAAAATATTGAAAATATCTCATGACAAACGAACAAAAAAATCTCTTCCAAATAAAGATCTGTTTCCTTCTCTTTTTTCCATCAGAAAAGCTTTTAGTGTGCAAAATGTTGACCGCTTGGACTTCTCCTCCCAGCAGGCTGGGATGCACCTGCCTCTGCTCCAGGAGAGTGGGTTTTCAGAAAGCTAAAAATCACTGGGCAGCACTGTTACCTCCACATCTGTCTCTCTTGTGAGCCTCTCGTGCTCCCACCAGACCCACGGCAGGCTAGGAGGACCCAGGGAAAGAGATGGCACGGCCAACCCGCGGGCGAGCCCTTCCCCACAGGCCCGGGAAGGGGGAGGAAAGCCCAAAGTTATTTGGTCTCTAGCGTGATGAGTTCCTGTTAGTTCTCAGTCTGCCACAGACAGAGGAGGCGTGCGAGGCTGCGGGCAGAGCAAGTGGAGGCGTTAGAGGTTGTCATACATGCGCAGCGTCTTCTCCAGCTGCTGGCTGACGCGCTGGTAGAAGACGATCTGCTGTCTTAGGTAGGACTGCATCATCCTCTTGAAGTCAGCCACGCGGCGCTCGTGGAAGTGGTTCATCTCGGCCTGCAGGGCGAAGCCCACCACGCGGCAGCGCTTGCGGATCCCGTCAGCCTCCTCCTGGTCCATCCTGCCCTCGTCGCTCATCCGCTGGCTCTCCTTCACCTTCGCGAAGGCGCCTGGCAAGGCAGGGAGCAGGATGAGAGGCTGGCGGGTCTGTGTGACCCTTCCCTGGCCTTCCTGGTTGATCCCACCGCCCTCCATGCTAGGGCACCAGCCTGGACTCAAAGCAGAGGCGCAGAGCTGCCCCACATGAGTAAAGGAGGGATCTACCTGCATCTCCCTATGCCCATCGAACTCATCCCTCTCCTCCAGGCAGGGAAAGACCAGGAGCCTTTTCCCTCTGGACTCTGGCCTCCCCAGCTCCTTTTCCATCCCATCTCTGAGCACACAGCCTCATGTTTAGCTGGTTTTGGGGTCTGGGCTCCTGGAGGGCTGCAACTCAAGGCTTTGGGTGCTAAGCTAAAAATGCAGGGCAGCGTTAGCACAGCCAAGCACCCCAGCCAAGCCTGCCCTCCAAATATTCCATGGTATCCCGTAAATGGGGGTCAGGAGCAGCCCTGGGAGACCCCAGACCAGGAGGCAGTGAACCAGGATGGGGGAAGGGCGTGTGGTGCTGTCTGGAGCTCAGCTGGGAAACCATCTCCCTCTCCCAGAGGCAGCTGATGCTCTGACACCAGTTTTTCCCTCTCCATGTTTTTTTACAGCTCAGTTTCGAAAGAATCCTGCCTGGCTCCAGCCCTGCATTCCTCCCCCTCATTAGCACAGAGGCTAAAAAACTAAAAACAAGATCTGGCCTGCACTGGGCTTTTTTCCCTTATCCCTGCCCCTTGCCGGGAGCACCAGACCCGGGGTTACAGTGCTCCCGCTGCACCAGCCCTGCTCCCAGCAGAGAGGAGGAGGAGGAGGAAGAAGCAAAGGTTGGAGGCCAAATCCTGCCTTCCGCTCTGCCCACGCAGCCTCGCTTCCGGACGGGATCCAGCCCCTCTCCATGGGTAAACAACACTGGGAGGAAAGGCATAGAAGCTGCTGGGGCAGGATTGTACTCTCCTTGCTCCCTTTGCCTTCCCAGCCTCCCCCAGGGACGTGCAGCGAGGCACAGACATCCCTGGATGCTTGGACACAGACAGCCCTGGTTTCACCCTGGGGAAAACTTGTCCCCCAAAATCTGAGGATGTTAGTGTGGGTGTCCCCTCCCTGCTATGGGCAGCTGGGCTGGGAGGAGTGTGTGGACTTCGGCCCTGCTCCCACACCCAGCTGCGTCAGCCTGGGTGCAAAGGGCCACCGAGTCCTCCCTGCCTGCCACCCGCTCCAGGAAGAGCACAGAAAACACTTCTCACCCCCTCTGACCCCAGCAGCTCCAGGGAACTAGGACAAATGGGGTGCAGGGAGCTCTGACAGCCCAGGCGTGCTAACCCACTCCTCCTGGACCCAGAAGCGCAGGGACATACTCCTGAAAAGTGTGACCTTGGTTGTCCCCAGGAGGTTCAGTGTGTCATCCCCCATGGACATGTCCCCCCACTGCCCTGCACAGCCCACTCTGCTCCTCTGGCCCACTCAAGGCCATATCCAGCCATGTCCCAGCCCCGAGAGAGCAAGCTCCAGCATCCCTGCTGGCCACCCATCTGCCACCTCGGCAGGGAGGGAGGATGAGGAGGGACAAGTGGCAGTGGGTGGGATGCTCAAGAGGTGCCGGGCAGGTCACCACAAAGCCACCAGCAGTGGTGCTGGCTCCTGCTAATGGTCTGCAAGGAGTGACACCCATGCTGATCCCCACAAAGGAAGCACCAGCAGCAGTTATGGAGCCCACAGCATCACTGGGGCAGACCCTGGACCCAATAGCCCTAGCAGCCTCTCCCAGCTGGGGTGACTGGAGGGCTGTGCCAGCAGGGACCACACTGCTTCCCTAGGAGCCACAGACAATGGTTTCCATTCTCATTCCCATCCTCATTTCCCATTCCCTTCATGGCCCAACAAAGGATTTCCTCGTTGCATCCCCATACCACTCCCCACGCCGTTCCCACTCACATGGGGCCATTCCCAGGGAGAAGAAGGCCTCCTTACCTTTCTGGAGGTGGATGATGTCTGGAAAGTTGGAGAGGAGCCCTTGGTATAAGGAAAGCGTGTCCAGCATGAGGAACAGGTCATTCTTGGGCTGCTCAGCAAACATCTCCCCCACAGTCTCGTACGTCTTGCCCGTGTGGGAGATGGCGTTGTTGAGGGCATCCAAGCTGTAGGGAGGGTCCATGTGGAAGGAGTGGCTGATGGCTTGGAAGGCATTGCCCAACTTCTGGAACTCCTTCCGGAAGCCCCCCACGTGCTTGCGCACCAGCTCCAAGGCCACGTTGGTCAGCTGCAGGACGCTGTCGTCCATCTTCTTGCTGAAGGCCTTGAAGGCGTCCACGCGGTCCTCCACATCCTGCAGGTCCTGGTGCTCCGTGGGAATCTGGATGGTGAGGAGGAAGCTGGCACCCACCATCTCATCCTTTTCCGCCCGGCGTTTGCCCAGCTTCCACTGCTTCTCGTCACGGCAGCAGAGGAAGTGCTGGAAGCCCTCGTACTGGGAGAGGACGGGGTGGCTGGTCATGTGGTCCATCCAGAGGATCAGTCGCCGCTTGCGCTTCTCAATGAAGTCCTCCTCAAAGCGGCCAGTGGCCTGCTTCTCGGGCAGGTGGGGCACCGAGATCACCGTGAACTTGTGCAGGAGGCGGTTGTAGAGCCAGTCGAAGTGCTTGTACCGCCGGTACACGGGCGAGTTGATGTTGCTGGGGGTCAGCTTGTAGGAGATGTAGCTCTTGATGCCCTTGAACTTGGTCTGCTTGGTGGGGTCCTCCACGGAACAGATGAAGGGGTGGGGGTTCGCCCTCCACTGGGGACCTCTGGAGCCCATCTCGATGCAGTATGTCTCAGAGATCTTGGACATCAGGGGCACGTCGCCCAGGATGAAGGCTTCCACACCGGAGCGGACGAAGCAGGAGAAGCGGTTGAGGTTCCTCCCTACCACGCTGCCCCTCTTGGAGGAGCTCATGCTATCCTGCCTCTCCAGCGCCGGCTTGGGCCGGTAACCGGCATGCTGGTGGTGGCCATAGGCCTCCGGGTACTGCAGATTGGGTGAGGGGTGCCCGTTGGTACCCGGGGCGCTCCGGGGCTCCTCCACCACCGTGCACGCATCGTCCCAGTCATCCCAATCATCATCATCGTCGTCCTCAAAACTGCCCTGGTAGGAGATGCCGGGATTGGGGGATGCTGAGTAGAAGGAGGAGTCGTGCCCGGGGGAGCCGGCCGGGCTGCTGGAGTAGTCCGTGTAGTTGGAGCCTGACCGGGAGCGGAGGATCTCGACATAGGAAGCAGGGAAGAGGCCGGTCTCCCCGCGGCTGTTTTGGCCCTGTAACCACCCGTCCAGGGAGTTCTCACTGAAGATGACGAGCTCCTCGTTCTCCTGGATGCTGATCTCCTCTTTGTTTTCGCTCTGGAAGTTGTAAAGCGCTCTGGCTTTCAACGCCATGGCCGGTCGCGGGTCGGGAAGAGGAGGGGGGGACACAGCGGAACGCAATCCCCCCCAGCCAAAACAACCCCCCCAGGCAATACCACAGGCTCGCTCGGCTCCGGGATCACCACCACGCGCTGTGGGAAATGGCTTGGCCGGTTTCCCAGAGAAATTAAAAAAAAAAAACGGTGAAGAAGAAATCCCTTACGAGGTGACGCCAAGTTCCGTGTGTCCAAGTGACCCCCCCGATCCCGGCACCCCTGTTAAAAACAACATTCCCCAGTTAAAAACAACATTCCCCAGTTAAAAACGACATTTCCTGGATAAAAACAAGATTCCTGGTCAGGCGAGCGGCGTTTCCCTGGCTCCTCCGGGATGTGAATCCCGGCCGGCCCAAGAGCCGGGCTCTGCCATGTCCACGCAGGGTTTATCTCGCTGGGACGCCGATCCCGAGGTTTCACTTTCCGTGAGGAAAACCTCTGGCTGCCAGCGAGGAGATATATCCCAAGCGACTTTTCTCGGGGGTCCTGTGGATAAAACACCCCAAATTTTCCCCTGCCAGCTGTCGGTGGGTGCTGGGAAATCGTCAGGAACGACCCCAAACCCTGCCCAACCTCCCAGTGATCCCGGGATTTCCTTTCCGGGCCGACTTTCCCGGCGGCTGGCGGGGTTTGGTTTTTCCCTGAAATCAGTAAATCTCACGCAGGACGGAGGTGGAGGGGACGGCGGTGGGGCTGGCGGGGGTGCCGGTGCTGATGCCGGTGCCGGTGGGGGAGATGGTGCCGGGGTTGGTCCCGTTGCCAGTGGGGATGGCGGAACCGGTGCCGAGGCTGGTCCCGCTGCCGGGGGCGGTACCGGGGCTGGTCCCGTTGCCGGTGCCGATGCCGGTCCCGCTGCCGGTCCCGTTGCCGGAGGGGGTGGCGGAGCCAGCCGCCAGCCTCCCGTGACGCAGGGCAGCGCGGCGCTCCCCGCTCCGCCGTCCGGTTCGCAGCGAGCAGCAGCCCGGCCCGGCTTGGCCAGCCGCACGCTGCCCTCTGCAGGCAGCCGGTCCCGGGGGCGCGAATCCTCGCCCGCGGTGGCACTGGCTGCTCCTGCGTCTCTGCCGGGATATTCCCCTCGGCCGTGCCCGGTCACGGCCCGCGGCGTCCCTTCCCAGCCCCCGGGCGGAGGGGGAAACTGAGGCACGGGCTGAGCGGGCTGCGGGGGGCGCCGGGGCCTCCGAGCCGCGCGGGGGCGCTGCGGGCGCGGCCCGGGCGGAAGCGGCCGGCGCGCGGGTGTTGCCATGGAGGAGCTGAGCGCGGCGCTGGCGGCGGGCGTGGGGCTGGCGGGGCCCTTCAGCCCGGCCGCGCCGCACCCCCGCCTGGCCGCGTACAAGCCCCGCGGCGGCCCCGGGCAGGTCGAGCGCCGGCAGCGCCTCCTCCGCATCCAGAGAGAGTGAGCGCGGGAGCGGGCGAGCGGGCGCCGCCAGGGATGGGGGCGCGGGGGGCGGGCGGGCCGCGTTAGGCCGCCCTAGGGCTGCGTGTGGGGAGGCGGCCCGGTTTGGGTGTGGGCTGCGGTGGGTGACCTGCCTCCCCGCTGGGTTGTTTCCTCGCCCCCCCAGGAGGCGGCTGGACTACGTGAACCATGCCAGGAGGCTGGCAGAGGACGACTGGGCAGGGATGGAGAGCGAGGGCGAGGAGAAGGATGGGGAAGATGCGGAGGAAGAGGAGATGGACGTGGATGCTGGCAAAAAGTTGCCCAAGCGCTACGCCAATCAGGTGAGGAGCCACCTGTGTCCCCATGGTGGGGTGTGGGTGTGAGGCAGGGCCAGGATGAGGGATGTGGGGTGGTTTGAGGCCACGGTGATGGCCGTTTTGGGGCTGAGAAGAATGTGTCCTGCCTGACTTGGTGCTCAGAGAGAAACTGTGTTTCAGTTTGCCTCCAAAACATGCTGAGTTCAAACGGAAAACAAGTGGAGATGGGCCGCCTGTGTGCTTTAGTCATTTAGGTTGGAAAAGATCTCGAAGGTCATTGAGTCCAGCCATTAATCCTGCACCACTGCATTCCCCACTTTGGGAGATTTCAGCTCAGCTAGCAGCATTAGTACCCCGTTAGGCAACACTTAGCTAAATATTTCTGTCTTTCCCCGTGTTTGGGGCACCAGGAAGGAAAGGAAAACTCAGCTGGGTTTTATCAGCCTGGGTGCTGTATTGGTCCTAAAAGGCACGCAGCCACCTGGGCAATGTTTGAGGAGGTCAGTTTCTCTGGGCTCTTTAATCCTAATATTTTGGAATCTCTAAGCTCTTTCATGTTTTTAAGAATAAAGTGCTGGAGTGGGGACCAAGGCGTGAGGTGGCCAAGCGAGGACTGTGAGCCCTGTTCTGTAGTCTGAAGCTCAGTCAGCAGCTGGGAAGCAAGAGAAAGACTTGAAGAGTGTGTTAGGCAGGTTGAGGTTGATTAGGGAGAGAGAGAGAGAGAGAGAGGGAAGGAGCCCTTTTGGGGGTGACAAGCAGTGCCAGCTGCCTCTAAAACGCCCTGTGTAGCTGTTGAAGCCAAGTTAAAACCTCCTTATTTTATTCTTGAGCTGTTCATTGTCCATAACTTCAGGATAGTTGTTACTAACTGATTGTTTTTCCTGGTTTCTCTGTAGCTGATGCTGTCAGAGTGGCTGGTGGATGTACCCTCGGATCTGGAGCAGGAGTGGGTTGTGGTGGTGTGTCCTGTGGGGAAAAGGGCACTCATCGTGGCCTCCAGGGTAAGTGGTAACAGAGGTGGGGGTCTCACCAGCTGCTAAAGGACCTGGTTTATGTTTCCAGCCAACATAAAGCTGGCTTGACTGGGTTTTCTCTCTCCTCTTTCCTCACAGGGCACAACAGCAGCTTACACCAAGAGTGGCTTCTGTGTCAACAGGTTCCCATCCCTGCTGCCGGGGGGGAACCGGCACAACTCAGCCAGCGAGAAAGGTACAGGTGTGAGGAGACATTTGGGATAGAGGGAGGGGAGCTGCCTGCTTCTGCCTGGGAATGTGTTTGCTGGCAGGCTCAGTGCTGCTCCTCCAGCTCCCCTGAGCCCCAGAGCTATGCCCTTTTTCGTGCTGCTAGGTAGTCAACCTCAGGCCTGTTTCTGTATCTCTGGAGATAACTAGATGTGGACAAATACCTTTATGCTAGATAAGTACATGGAGTCCAAAAATGGTTTGGATTTGGAAGGGATCTTAAAGGTCATCTTGTTCCACCCCCCTGCCATGGGCAGGGACACCTTCCACTATCCCAGGTTGCTCTAAATCCCATCCGACCTGGTCTTGAACACTTCCAGGGATGGGGCAGCCACAGCTTCTCTGGCCTCACCGCCCTCACAGGGAAGAATTTCTTCCTAACATCTAATCTAAAACTGCCTTTTTCCTGTTTAAAACCATTGCCCTTTGTCCTGTCACATCTTTTAATTAGCCTGATTGACTGACACTCTTAAACCCCAATATCCTCTCTGTCCTCTAAAAGAGACCTGTGTGTGCTGTCATCTTCCTTACTACCTCTTGGAGTTCAGTTTTTTGGCCCAGAAAAAAAGAGGTTTATTCCCTGGCAAATGCCATTTTCTGAAATATGCCCTTGCCTGCTATGCCTCTGGCTGGTCCCTTTGTAGCCTCATGGGGCTCCTCAAGCTCAAGGCTTTTTGCGGTCACAGTTTCTGTTAACAGAAGGGGGTCCCTCTGCACCTGGCAGCCTTACATCAGGGCAGGATTAATGCTGGGGAGCTGTGGCCTGGCGTTTGCCAGTTGGGTTAGGCAGAGTCTGGAGCAGGTATGGACCTCCCTGTGTTTGTGTGTGCAGTGTACACCATCCTGGACTGTATCTACAATGAGGCCCAGCGAACCTACTATATCCTCGATGTGATGTGCTGGAGAGGACACCCTGTTTATGATTGCCAGGTACTGAATCCCTGCCCTCCCTGTTGTTCCCTGAGATGCAGTGCTCCAGCACTGTATGTAGCTCACTCTGCAAAATGGGGATATTTCTCCCAAGCACCAGTGTCTTTACAGCTTTTGGGCTGCTGGAATTATGTACATGTTTTGTGGGGCAGTAGCAGGGTTTGGGGTGCTGGTTCTGTAGGTGAAGTCGATTTTGTAAATCTCCCAGGTGAATGCAGAGGAGTGAAGACACTCAGCAGGTGCTGATGGGTGATGTGTAGTGAATGGTCACTAACTCTCTGTGTCCTTTCACAGACTGACTTCAGATTCTTCTGGCTGTCCTCAAAGATCCAAGAGGAGAAAGGGCTGGGAGAGACAAGCAGGATTAATCCGGTAAGTCCTTTTGTAGTGAGAAGGAGGCTGAGGGGTAAGCTCTCCTGTTCAGCAGGCTTCAGCAGTTTCTTTCACAAGCGGAAGCTTTCTTTCTTTTTTTCTTTCTCCTCATGGATCAGGCTTCAAAGTGTACATCTGATGAAATGGGATGCCGTGGTCAGGATGTAAATGGAACCACTGAATATTGTAAATGAGTGCAGTGGGATTTATTTCCCCCATCCAGAGTGCTGAGGGATATCACACTGCAGGGTATCAGCTAACTTCCATGCTGTTTTTAGCTTTCCTTTGAAATGGAATGGAAAACCAGTGTGGTTTCTGCAGGGGCAGTGTTGGTTGGCAGCCTGACTACACTGGGGCTTATTCTTGCAGTCTTGTGGGTTTGTAAAGCTTTAAGCCTTCCCTCTGTTTAAACTGATCATTGAAGTTGTTCGGATGAATGCCGGATTGCCACCCGGAATCCCTGCTGAGCCAGGATAAAAAGTCTTCCTTTGAAGACTTACGTATGGAGGTCAGACCTAGAACCCACAGCAGCTTGGAACATGATTTTTGGGTACAGACATGAGGGATTTCTCTGCTCAGGCACAGCCAGGCAGAGCAGCTCCTGTGAGCTAAGCATCTCAGTGATAAATGGGGCTGACTGCAGTGAAGGTGTCTGTGTTCAGAGAACATCCTGTTCTGACTCCCAACAGGAATATCCAGAAGATAGCTACCTAATGAAGGGGGGTCGTTTCAGCTTTCATTTCCTGGGTTGAAAGATTGACTTGGCTGAGCCAGCAGCCTGGAACAGATGTCTGTCTACTTTGCATCCTGCCTGGAGGTCATAATTTTCTCTTTTGGTTAAAAGAACATCTCCTGAAAGGTCCTTCGTGCAGTCTTGGGTGCTTGGGAAGAAAGGTATCAGGAGCATGTGGGAGCTGTTCCTCACCCTTTCCCTTTCATGCTGGATCCTGCACTGGGGGAATCCTTCCTTCTTAGCTGCCTCTGCACCGGTGCTGGACTCAGCAACTTGTTTGCCTTTAGGCCACACAGTTGCCCCTCTAACCCTCTCTTACTCTTTCAGTACAAATTTGTGGGCCTGCAGAACTTCCCTTGCTCCTCGGACAGCCTGTGTGAGCTGCTGGCTACGGACTTCCCCTTTGAGGTGAGAACACCCAGGTGGGGGCCTGGACCTCAGCCTCAGCAACAGCCCTGCTGTACCTCTGCCAGTGCTGGGAGAGAGGTGCATCCCCTCTGCTTGGGAATTTGCTCTCCCAAAGCTGCAGGAAGCTTGCTGAGCTGCGCTGCCGTTTCCCTGTGTGTGTGGGAGGGATGCCTTTATGCCTGTGGTTGATCTGTTGCCTTGTCAACAGGTACAGGCCTCATCCAACCACACAGATAAGCAAGAGTTAAACCACGGCATTCCATGTGTTTGTGCTGCCCTTGCTGCAGTTGGCTGGGTCTGAAAAAGCATTTTGGGATGAGAGTGTTGATAGGGACACTCAGGCTGCCTCCAGAAGCAGCACAACTCACGTTCACATAGCAGTGTGATGGACAGCTGACCTCTTTAGGGCCAAAGTTGGTACTGCCCATGGCTCTATGTGGGCTTGCGTGGGTTTCCTTAGTCTGGCTGCTTCCATATTCTATGTCCAAGGCACCTGGCTGTTTTCTGGGAAGGAAGGAGAAGGGTGATGGTAAGATCCCAATGGTTTCTGAGGGGTTTGGGTCTTCAGAGTGGGTGCCTGAGGTGTACTGGAGCTGGGGGAGGATGGCTGTGACAGAATGGCTGAACAGAACACCTGTGTTCGCTTCATCAGCTTTAGAAGTAGAATCATAGAATCATACAATATCCTGAGCTGAAAGGGACCCACTAGTATCATCAAAGTCCAACTCCTGGCCCTGCACAGGACAGCCCCAGCAATCCCACAATGTGCCTGAGAGCATTGTCCAAAGGGTCCCTGAGCTCTGGCAAGCTTAGGACCATGACCAGTTCCCTAGGGAGTTTGTTCCATTGCCCAACCACCCTCTGAGGGAAGAATCTGTTCCTCATATCCACCCTAAACCTCACCTGACAAAACTGTTGTGCTATTCTGACCTTTGGGGAAGGGCAAGACAGGCAAATCCACGTGCCACCTCGCTCAACCCCATGTGGTTGTGAGCAGTGAGTCACCGGCCCTCATGGAATCAGCTCTGGCTGCTTTTGCCTGCCCTGGCTGACTTCTCACTGGAGGGGAGAGGACGGAGGAGGCAGTGGCATTCCGGCCCAGTGACAACATCTGGAAGGCAGAAGCTCCTTCAGTGTCTGCTGCAGTTCCTAGGAGTGCCCAGTCTCAACTCCACACCAGGAACAGCCTCCACAGAGGTTTCTTGTCCTGCAAAGGCAAACGCCACATTGATGTGATAGTCTCTTGTGCTGCCCCATCCCGAGTTAGCCATTAGTATAAGTGGAGGTTTAAATTAAGGGACACTAATTTGTCTGTGAGGGCTGACTTTGCTTGTCAAAGCCAGGACAGCCATCAGAGTGAGTCAGAAAGTCCCAGCTTTCCTGCAGCTGACTTGCTTAATGACAAATCTCTGAGTGCCTCTGTAGAAACAGTCATTCCTGTCTTTCCTGAGAAAAAGCTTCATTCCTTCCTGAGGCATCTGGTCCCAAGAGGAAAGGCTGAGGAGTGTTGCCTCGCTGTGGTCAGAGTGGGAAACTTTTGGGCTATGAAAGAGGCCATTGTGAAACTCTGAAGCAGGAGATGGAGCTGAACGGACTCCAGATGTGTAATCCAGCTGTGATTTGCCCCCCTGGTCTTTTGATACATTGGGGTGTAACCCCAAGAAGTGAAATGTGGTGTAATTGGCTCAACACACTGGAACCATGGTGCTGCTTCCAGAATGAAGGGAGCCGTGGGTCCCTCTGGTGTGCCACAAGAGGGAGCCCAAAAATCCCCCAAAACAGCTTCCACCACCGGTACAGAAAATAGATCCTGCTTATGGATAGTGAAGGATAACAGAGGTGGTCTTAGTCTTGGGCCCAGCATCTGGTGATCCTGACAGGAATCTCGTGTGTGTGGTGGCAGCAGAGGTGGTCAGTGCTTTCAGATTTGGGACTTCAGAGTTAATCTGTAACCTGAGAGTTAGGGCCTGACCCGCTCTATTCAGCAGAATTTTATTCCCCTGAGTTCAGTGGACTTTGGATCAGTTGACTGGCTCTGAATTTCAAGTGGTTTTTGGAGTGGATCTTAAGAGCTACTGTCCTTCTCACAGATCTGAGTAAAACCACGCTCAGGTTTCCACAAAGGCAGGGGAGCCAAAGCCTCTGAGAAACCCCGGTGTGAAGGAATGGGAGGACTGTTAAGCATCTAAAATCTGGAAAGCGTGGCTGTGGAGTGTGAAACCCTGCCAGGCCAGTCTCTCCTCGGGTTCTGTCGTTTAGGGACAGTGTCAGCCCTTGTTCTCGTGTGGCTGCTGTCACTGCAGTGACTCAGGGTAGGGACCCAGCCAACAAATTAAATAAACGGGAAGGAATATGGGAGTCACTTAAATCAGGGAAGGGAGAACATGACCTAACTTCACCAGGCTGAACTCCTTTGAATTCTCCATCTTGGGGAAGATATTTGGAACAGTCTGGAAGGCGTTTCCAGGCTCTGATCTTTACCAAAACATTCCTGTGGGTGCTGGAGTATTCCTCTTGCTCACCAAGTGCCACGCATCCACAGGAATGGGCTGGATATGCTGGGGTGCTGCAGAATCTGGCTGTTCCCAAGAGGCAGGGGGAGGGAAAAGCTTTGCACTTTAGGGGTTACACAAGTTCATCATGATGCTTTCTGTTCTAGTTTTATGTTTTCCTAGCAGAGGAATCCCCCTTTTTCTGGGATTATTTGGCAAGATGTTAACAGTGACTGAAATTGTGAACAGAGTAGTACCAGGAGCTTTACTGTCTCTGCCATAGGTTAGCATCCATGGAGCAGAAATGGATAGATGCTGCTCTGTGCTGTGCTCAGCCTGGGTGTCTGTTCTGGGGGCTGTAGGCTTGGGGAGGGGCCTGGGAGCAATTCATCCCGAGATGGGCTTTTGTTCTCCTCTCTTCTGCCCACTCAGCCACTCTTCTTCATAGCCAAATGGCTTTTTAAGAGATTTTGAAGCTGAGCTAAGAGGAGCACCACCTTCAGCGTTAGTCAGCCTGACAACAAGATCCAGCCTCACAGAGCACACCCTGGGAAGCACAGGAAGAGGGGGAATGAGAATCCCTGAGCATGGCAGGAAAGTGGGGAAAATGTCAGACAGCTGCAGCACTGCAGAGTGTGGAAATAGCAGCACAAGAGTTAAGCCTAAATCTTCAAAGTCCTGAGTGCCCTTAACTGTCATTGATTGCTGGAGAAGTTCTCTCCTGGGAAACATTAAGAATTTTATTGGCATACACCAGTTAAAAGAGCTGTTAGGAATCGGGGCTCCTTGGCATCATGCACTTGGACTAATTACTTTCCAAATGTATTATTTAAAATAACCCTAATCCAGTAAAGTGGGCTGCCTCATTCAGAAACCCGCTGGCTTTTCTGCAGAGTGGGATGAGAGCATCCAGAGGATGCTGCTCTGTGCCGACAGCGGGCTGGAATTGTTTGCCTTTGACAATTTAAAGCCACCTGGGAGTCGCTGATCTTTCAGGGCAGGAGCTCTGCAGGTTTCTTCTTTCCCTTCCGCTGTTTATTGCGCTGCTTGGGGAAAAATGATCCAGCTGTTGGTTTTGGCCTGCAAATGGAGAGCAGAGCTGTCGTCTGGCGCCCGGTCATCCACCTGCGGGAGCCTCAGCTCTGCCCTTTCATTCACTCTCTCCTGTCTGCAGGTTGACGGGCTGCTCTTCTATCACAGGCAAACCCACTACACCCCCGGCAGCACCCCGCTGGTGGGCTGGCTCCGGCCCTACATGGTCCCTGAAATCCTGGGGCTCACCGTGCCCTCCACCGCGCTCACGGCCAAACCGAACTATGCCGGGCGGCAGCTCCAGCAGATCATCGAGAGCAAAAGGAATAGAAAGCTGGCGGTGGAAAAGGGCGACCCAAGCAGCGTGGTGGCCGCGAAGAACGGACATTACGAGCTGGAACACTTGTCTACCCCTCAGCCAGAAAAGTCTCTAGAGGGCCAGGACGGAGCAGTGAGCCAAATGGAGAGTTAAAATGCTGGGACAGGCCAGCTGGGGAGGGAGCAGGGAAAAGGCTCCCTGCTTCTCACTGTCCCTCATGCTCCTGAGAGGGGGCAAAGTAATGATGATAGGATAGCTTTGTTTCAAGGGCATGACAGTGGAATATCTTGCCCCAAGGGCTGTTTTTTGTTGTTTGTTTGTTTGTTTGTTTTTGTTTTGGGGTTTTTTTAGGGTTGGGTTTTGTTGTTGTTTTTTTTTTTTTGCCAAGGCTTCTGTGAGTCCTTAACAGGATTGTCTGGTTCTCTGCTAAGGCAGTCGTGCGTTGGGACACGCTGCAGGGATACAGTTCAGCTTCTGACCCTGCTTCTCCTGAAGCCCTGGCAAAGCTCCAGCATAGGAATAGTGCTCGGACCTCTGAGGTGCAGCTGCTGCTCACGACCCCAAGTAGCAGCCCCACCTTCCTGACCCCAGAAATGGGGGCTTCTCGGCCTTTGATCCAGCTGTTTTCTGAGGCCTTCGCAATGAAAGTTTTGGGGTCAGTCTGCTTCTTACTAGCAAAAAGTTGGCAGTGAGCTTCTGTAAATCCAAAGGGTGGACTTTCCACACCCACATGTTCTTAGGACAATCTAAATTTTCCTTGCATCGCAGCAGGACCTGCCTTGGAGCAGGGCTTTGTGCACAGTGAGCGCAGCAGAAGCCTCTCTCTCCTCAAGGCTTTTCTCAGTGGGGGGAGGAAGGAATGGCTTCGCTCTGAAAAACACTACCATTGATCGTGCCAAATAAAAGGTTTCTCAGAAAGACAAATTCTTGAGCGTCTTCCTGCTACCTAAGGGTGGATGCGTGCTGTGCCTCCCAAATAGGGATTGAAAAAATCAGTTCCAGCGCTGACTGGAGCAGAGGAAACGCTTACGTGGGTTTGATTCTCTGCACACTGAGTTAGTTTGGTCCCTTCTGTCCCTCTCACCCCAGCCCAATCCCACTTTTTTTAAGCACTGGCTGCTCCTTCTCCCTGGCTTTAAGAGGATGAAATGATTGTTCTCACTGTCGCCAGGTTGGTTTTCAGAGGGAGATTAAAAGGGGAGATGAAACATCAGGCTAAAGGCAGTATTGGGGTCTTTCCTCCCAGCTCTCTAGGAAAATGCCCCTGGAGGAGATGGGGAGAGTGGGGATTACCACCCGCAGATAGTGGGGGCACTTGTATCCTGCCCTCACACCCCCACTTTTTCCCAGAAAAAGGCTGATTCTGTGCCAAGCATGTGGGCTGCGTGCAACCATCTGGCTGTGCAGCCACTATTGATTACACCAGCGGGCAGCAGGAACTGTCCTGGATGCAGGGGGGCTTCCCCAGGAGGGAAGCAGCACCCTTGGCTCTGCAGCGTTCGGAGCTGTCTCCTTCAAACAGCTGCTTATTTTATAATGTTCAGTATTATTTTTTTAGCATGTGAAGCAGCTGGCTCAGGGAAAGATGATTGACACCTGGACTGCCTTATCCCCCCCCATCCCTCAAAGGTTCCCACCTTCAGCCTCTCTGGTTGGCAGAGATCTGCAGGGAGAGTGCTGAACAGGAGACTGCACCCAACCTCCTGTCAGCACAGTTTTCCTTCCGTCAGGCAATTAAACCCGGAGGTGGGCATCTGGAGGGAAGATTTGTGCATCCCTTAAGGCAGAGAAAGCTGCACTCAGCTTACTGCTCCCCAGCAGCCTTCCAAGGTCCTCTGGCCAAGGGAAGGAGAGGAAATACAGCCAAATAGGGGCTGTGTGCTCTGATGGATGGAGGAGAACAAGAGGGAAACGACTGCAGCTCTCCACTGGCTCCAGATGATGCCTCATAGTTTCTCTTTTAAAAGCATGAGCTGGGCTGGTGAAATAAATATTTGCATTACAATTCCTGTTGGGAACCAAAGGCTGTGTTTGGAGAGAGGGTGTCAAACGGAAGTCGCCGGGGCCAGTGCAGTTTGATGCTGTGATTGTTCTGTTTGCTGGGTGTGATCCCGTTCCCAGCTGGAACAGGCAGCAGCTCCAGCGGAGGGGATCACGCCCCCCACACCCTCCCCGGCTGCTGAAATTTGGCCTGGGGCAGGAAAGCTGAGCCGGCAGCTCGACGTGGAGACGTGGTCTGGGTCTCTGGGGGACAGAACGAGCCTGGAGCCCTCATCCAGCCGGGGCTCAGCCCCTTCCCTTTGCCCTTCTTCCATTTTCTCCCAGTTAGGTGCACAGGCTCCGGCTGCGGGCACGCTGCCAGCGCAGTGCTCCTCGGCTGAACAAAATGTCCCCTTGTCCCAGGGCCCGGCTTTTTGGTGGGACTGCTGCTGTGCTCCCCGGGATCCCCCCGCTCCTTCCCGGAGGAGCTTCGGGACTCTCCATCCAGGCACCGACACCTGCGCCCAGCCGGGAAATGCAATTTACGGATTGCAGAGGAGGGAGTGGAAAAGAGGCGCCTGGAAATCCCAGACTGCTGCTCGTGGGGGAAGGCCGCGAGGCTGGAATACCGGCAGGGGAAAATGCTGTGCCGGGAATTTCATCCAGCACCAGCAGGAGAGGAGGATGCTGCCACCATTTTAGCGGCGGTGCTCCCGCCGGCCGCGGCCAGAACTGGGGCTGGGGGAGCCGGGGCGGAGCGGGGCGGGGGGAGGAGGCGATCGGGCCCCTCCAGCCCCATCCCGGCTGCTGCCCCCCGCTCGCCCCCCCCGCCAGAGAGGCCTTCCTGTCCCCCGCCCGCCCTCCGGGGCCGGCCGAGCCGCGGGGAGGGGACGGAGAGGAGGGATCGGGGTGTGCGGGCGCTTCCTGCCGCCGCCCCCGCCGGGGCAGAGCGGAGCGGAGCGGGGCGGGAGCTCGGCCCGGCCCGGCCCAGCCGAGCGGCGCTCCCGGTCCGAGCCAAACTTCCCGGGGTGCTCAGACATACACGCATATATATATATATTTATATATATATATATATATAATATAATATATATATTATTATTTTAATTTTTTCGGCGCTTTCGGCGGGGCCCCCGGGGCGGAGCCGCCTTCGCCGCCGGGAGGGGCCGGTGCCCGCAGCGCCGGGGATGGGCTCCGCCGGGGCGCCCGCCGCTTAGACCGGCCCGGCTCGGCTCATCCCGGCCCGGCCCGGCCCGGCCCGGCCCGCTGCGCAGCATGGCCGCGGAGCTCAGCGCCGAGGAGGAGCAGGTAGGTCCCGCCGGGCTCCCCTTCCCCGTGCCGGGCTGGGCAGGAGCCCGAGCGCTGCACACATCTCCCCCAAACCCCCTCCCGCCGCTCCTTTCCCATCATTTTTTGGCTACCCCGGATGGCAGGGCTGTTTTTTCCCAGCGGGGCGGTTCGCCCCATAGGAAGCCCTCCACCCCACCCACCCACGCAGCCCACAAACCCACGCAGCCCCCCATCCACGCAACTCCCCACTGCCCCGCGCTCCAGAAGCCCTTGCAGGGGGCTGCGGTCCCACATCCCCAAAACAGCGCGTCCCTCCCGGCGGGCCTCCCTGCCGTGGGCAGGCTGGCGTGGGGATGGTGCGTGGGGATGGTGCGTGGGGATGGTGCGTGGGGATGGTGCGTGGGGATGGTGCGTGGGGATGTGTGTGCACGCGCTTCCCACGCCCCAGGCCTCCCGTGACGTCCCGGCTTCCTCCGCCGGCCTTGCGTCACCGCGGGAGGATGTTGCTGGGCTCGGGGAGCGGGGCCCAGGAGCCACCGGGGGCACCTCGGATGGCCGGAGCAATCCCTGGCTGTTCCCTCCTTTGTCCTCATCCCCAGGTTTGCCCACCCGGCTGAGCCGCGGCCACTGGGCTTCCCTCTGGATGGGGATGCGGAGCCTGGCAGCGGGACTGGGCGTGCTGCTGGAGGCTGCCTCTGCCCCACGGCAATGCTCGGGCTGTCACATCGGCCACCTCGGTGGCGTTGGGGGCTGCCATGCGAAGGCGAAAAGGTCCGGTTTTCCTTCCAAAATGTTTGGTTTTCCAGATGGTTGGTTGGTTGGTTTTCTCCTTTAAAAATCCTTCATTTCTACATGGAGGTTTAGGAGAGTTGGGACAGAGATCCCGAGTTCCCAAAACCCCCATGGAGGAGGCCCTCCTGCAGCCTGCGCTGGTGCTCAGGAAGTGCAGGCTTTTTCCTCCTGGGAGCAGTACTGCTATCTCCAGGGTGATAAAATCCCAAGGAATGGGGGGTGTTCTTGCCCTCCGTCCCTGCAGGTGCCTGAGATTGCCTTTTCTTCTGTGTTGTGAAGGCGGCAAAGCTTCCAGCAATGGGTTTTAACAGAGCCTGCGGGGGTAGGGAGGGTTGGTTTGCAGCAGGAGCTGTAACTGGGCCCGTGTCCCAGCAGGGGGATCTGAGATGTTTGGTTCATGCAGGAATATTGGATGGAGAAAGTGAAGGTATGTTTGCAGTAGTGGCTCCAGGTTTGGATCATCATCCTGGGGTGGGGAAGGCTGCCTTCAGTGATGCCCTCGGTGGCTTGGAAGCCAAAATAGTGGAAGCTTCCCTCTTTTCGTGGGTGGTTTGGGCTGGGACATCCCCTTCCTGCCATCCCTCATCCTTTTCATGACCGTCAGGATTTCCTCTGCTCTCCCCTGTTACTGACAGCAAGGCAGGGAAAATTCACCCCACTCCTCTGCCTGCAAGTCTTGGGACATCTCTGCCCGCTCTCTGCAGTTCCCTCCCTAGCTTATCCCAGAGGAGCCAAACCGTTTTTCCTCGAGGTTTTCAGCCCAGCTGCAGTTTTCACGGATTTATCCCCCCATTCCCTGGGATGAAGAAGAAGAAGGGTAGGTTTGCTGCCTGGGGGAGGAGGGCTGGAAGAGCCCCCATGTCCCAGCAGCAGTGGCTTTGTCACCACCCTGCCACGGCACAGCAGAGCGGGGACACGGATGACGGCAGCACTCCAAAGACCAGCATTGTTCCAAACGCCCCACCACAGACAATTTCGCTCACAGTGCTGCCAGAACACGGCTTCTTGCTGCAGGTCTGGGTCATGGGCTTTGTTTCGGCGTGTGGAGCAATCCCTGCTCCACTAGGATTGATACCTGCATAAATCCATGTGGGATCAGGGCTGGGAGTAGATAATGAGACCCAGTGGAGTGCACGAAGGGGGCAGAGCTATGGTTGATAGCTCCTGGCTCCCTGCTGTTGAATGTCGGCACTGGTAAGTTTGGAATTTGGTTTTGTTCCCAGGGAAAGCTGAAATTCATGGCTGAGCTGCCCTGCAAAGCCAGCGCTTGTTCTTGTGCATCTTCCCCCTTGCAAAAAGCCTGGCACCCCTCATGATGGATGCTGGAAGCGGGACTGTGTGAAGTGTGATGGGTTAGATGTGGAAGAAGGAGACCTGAACCACATGTTGCATCCTCTCCTCACTGCCACTGTGCCCCTTGGCCCCTCTTCCCATCATCTGGGGCCTCCCTTTCCATCATCCTGGGGTATCATTACCATCCCAGGCTCAGTGTTGGCTCTGGTCTCCATCCAAGGGCAGTGGGAGTGTACCTGGTGCTCACCTTCATCCCTGGGCCATCCTGCACATGCTGGGGAAGGAGCATCTCCACTGTTATTTTGCATTTGCATCCCCAGCCCTAGATTCTGGGGATGCCTTGGAGGAGCAGAGGTACAGCCAGGATATACTGGATAGGATATATTTGTGGATAGGATATATTCCTATATACGTACATGTGGATGTGTGCTGTGTTAAGGCTGAAGATGGTTCCTGTACTGCCCCATTTATTTTCCCCTGTGCTCTCCCAGGGTGCTCCTGGCTGTGAAGTGTTGGGGGAGAGACGCCTTGGATGAGCTGGGCTCCTTCAGCCCATCCCACGAGAAGGGCTCACTGCCCCTGCTGAGCCTCGTGCCGCCGATAAACCCCAGCCCTTCGCTTCCTCCTGTCGGAAGTCATTAACACCAACAACCTTTTCTGGCTCAATAGCTCCCAGTAGCTCTGAATAGCTCCCAGTAACTTCGTGCTGCAGCCTGACATCCAACACCACCGTCTGCCTGTGCTCCCTGCTCCTGGAGCCAGCCTTCAGCACTCCCTGTCCCTCCTTCTCCTCCTCCTCCTCCTTGGATGACATTGCCATCCTCCACTCTAGAGAGGATAGAAGCTCCTCCATTTTGGGGTGTGCCCCCGATGAGAATGAGGCATTTTGGGAACTCCCCCCATCCTGCCTGTATCCTTTGAGCAGGATGTGGTGGAAGGCTGGGCTGTGCTTCCCCATCTCCCCTGGGACTCCTGTGTGGGACAGGGGATAAATATGCAGCAGAAAGCAAAGCTGCATCCTGGGACCCTCCTGGTCTTCCATGGCCATGTGAAACTGGTGTTATTGGGCGAGCTGGTCCATGTCCTGTAACAGGTCAAAGTGTCAGCCCTCCATGCTCTTTACCTGTGCTCCCACAGCCAGGTTTGCTGCTCCAAGGAGGAGCTGCAGCCCCAGGAGCTGCCAGCTGCTGCCAGCGGATGGGTACCTGCTGTGCTGTTTTTGCTGCGTCTGAACAGGAATTTGATGCCTGTAAAAGGCTCCTCTTGCTCCCCCTTTCCCTTCCATGAGTGTCCCCCAGCCCCAAAGCCATTTTTCCTACCACTGTCTCCCTTTCACACGCTGGTTTTTCCCCCGTCTCCATCCCCACTGCCCCTACCCCTTTTGTTGTGGAGCTCTCCTCTTCACCCTGAGGAGCTGCTGGGCTTGCTACTGTAGCTCCCACCATGACCAGGGATGCTCCTCGGGCTCTCCTCTTCCTCCCACCCTGTCTCACTGCATGCCCCTGGTCTCTTCCACAGGCAACCAAGCAGTTCCTGGAGGAGATCAACAAGTGGACAGGCCAGTATAATGTGTCCCCGCTCTCCTGGAATGTGGCTGTCAAGTTCCTCATGGCCCGCAAGTTCGATGTCCTGCGGGCCATCGAGCTCTTCCACTCCTACCGGGTAAGTGAGCGGGGCCAGGACCCCCCTGGGTAAGGGATTCCTGCTCTGAGGGAGATCCCTGCTCCGGAGGACTACCCTCCCCCCACTCTTTTTTCTTTTTCCCACTCCCATATAAGTTTTATCCAGCTGGAAAATCCTTTTTCAGCCAAGGCGGGTCACCATGGAGATCTCACTGATCCCAATCCCCTCCCCTCTGCTGAGAGCAGCTCACAAGGTGCCCTCCCGACCCGTGTATTCTGTCCATGGGGCATCTCCCTGTATATTAAGGATTTAGATCCATATATGTCCTTCCCAGCCTGGTTTTGCAAAGCTGCTCCTCCCCATGCTGGAGTGCGTGCTGGAAAATGGGCTCATGGAGCAGAGGTTCCCTCGGAGGGCTGGGTGCCCCATGGGGCCGTGGTGGTGGGTGGACAGCTGGGGTGCCCGTGCCCCCCATCATGCCAGCTCCCTGCCCGCAGGAGACACGGCTGAAGGAGGGAATTGTGAAGCTGAAGCCACACGAGGAGCCGCTGCGCTCGGAGCTGCTCAGCGGGAAGTTCACCATTCTGGTAGGTGGGGTGTACCCCCCCCAAGTTATCCCAGCTGGGTGGCTCATCCTTGCTCCTCTCCACGTGGGTGCTGCAGAAGCCTGACGCTGTTTCCTCGGCAGAGCGTGCGGGACCCCTCGGGAGCCTCTATCGCCCTGTTCACAGCCAAGCTGCACCACCCCAGCAAGAGTGTGCAGCACGTGGTGCTCCAGGCACTCTTCTACCTGCTAGACCAAGCCGTGGAGAGGTGAGCCTGCCTCTGCCGAGGTACCCTGTCTCACACTGGTGGGTCCCTGGGGAGCCCCTTCCCTCCCAGGGTGGTCACTGCTCCCCATGGCTTGAAATTCCCTGGTTTGAACTCCAGCCGCTCTTCCCCGTGGAGGTGTTCAGCCGGGGAACAAAATCCCCTGTGCCCTGAACCAGGCTCTTCTGCAGCCTCGCCCTGTCTATGCCCCGGGTTCAGTTTAGAAAAGCCCCAGATTCCTGCAGGCTTTGGCTGGGGAGGAGGCAGCCCTGCTGTCAGCCAGGCGTAATGTGAGTCCTGCCAAAAATATAAAGCCGGGACATTTCCCCCCTATCCCCCCTCCCCAGCCCCCTGATGGGCTCTTTCTGTTTTTGACCTTACCCATTATGGGTGATAACATTGAGACAGGCTTAAGGTATGAGCCAGGCTTAAATGAAGGTTGTAGGAAGAGGTGTGGTGGAGCAGCTGGAAGTGAGGTTTGGGTCTGTGAGTCCTTCTGGAAGCACAGAAAGGGATTTTTAGGGGTCAGTGTGGGGCAGAGGTGCTGCTGCAGGAGTCATGTTGTGGAGTCGATGTTGCTCTTTCCTCTCTCTCAGCTTTGAGACGCAAAGGAATGGGCTGGTGTTCATCTACGACATGGCAGGGTCACAGTACACCAACTTTGAGCTGGACCTCAGCAAGAAGATCCTCAACCTGCTTAAGGTGATGTCCGGGGTGACCCCGTGTCCAGGGACAGTGCATGGGCCACTCGCGCTCACTGAGAACCCGAAGACATGTGGTTTTGGCATCAGTTTTCACCCCAGACCATGCTGACCATGTCTTGGCTGAGGAGCACAGGCTCCAGCCCCGCAGGACCTCAGGAAGGCACTGGGAGCCTGCCAGGCTGGACCCAGCTGAGGCTGAGGCTGTGTGTCCCGCGGGCAGAAGAGATCAGCTGTCCCCGGGCCAGATTCCTCTCACAGCTGCTGGCAGCGCTTTTGGGAAAACAGATGCAAATTATTTTTTAATCATGCTGGCATTTGGTGCCTTCTCTGGAAAAAAACAGTAACAGTAAATGCTGGCCAGGGTGTGTTCTCTGCACAATCCCAGTTCCTGGTCTTCACCTCTCCCCTGCGGAGACAAGCCCTCTGCCTACCTAATTCCAAGGAAGTAATTTGTTTCCTTATTGGCTCACAGAAACAAGCACAACCGTGAGCGTGCAAGGAATGCTTTGGATGTGGCGTTGCCACCACAGGGTCCCTTTGGTGATTGTCACCTCTGCTGGGACATGTCCCCTGCCAGCAGAGTGGATCTGACCCGCTCCTCCTGCCTGCAGGGTGCCTTCCCAGCTCGGCTCAAGAAAGTTTTCATCGTGGGAGCACCCATGTGGTTCCGCGTGCCCTACTCCATCATCAGCCTGCTGCTGAAGGAGAAGCTGCGGGAGCGGGTGAGTGGGGACCCTCCTGGCACAGGACCCTCGGCAGGGAGGGCTGAGGCTGCTTTCCCTTTGGGACAGGATGGTGGAAGCAGCTTGTGCCGCTCAGCCCCATCTGCTGGAAGTTGCTGAGCACCAGACCTTTGGCATCCCTGTCCCGAACCCCAGTGAATCCTCTCCAACTTTCTTGGAGTGACCCCTGCCTTTCCTCTTCCTCACACAGGTGCAGATGGTGAAGATGTCGGAGCTGAAGGAACACCTGCCACGGGAATGCCTCCCGGAGTACCTTGGGGGGTCCCTCAAACTGGACCCTCTGAGCTGGAACTGCCGGTTCCTGCCCCAGCAGAATGGGCACCCTGACCCCCTGGACGAGCTCATCCTGGTGCCGCTGGCGGCCCCCAAAGATAACGGCTCTGTCCACGTCCCCGGGCCCAAGTCCATGACCCTCCAGGAGCTACTGGATCATGTCAGTCACAAGCAGAAACAGGGCATCTATGAAGAGTATGAAGATATTCGGCGCAGGAGCCCAGCCGGCACCTTTGTCTGCTCTTTGTGAGTTGGGGGAAAGACGTCAGGAGCCCCTCTCGCCCCAGAAAGCTGAGTGCCCCCCACACACACACTTCTGCTGCTGGATGGTGGTCCATCGGCCTCTTTAGGGTGTGGTACTTTGGGTTAGCAACAGAGAACCCCGGCCTAGGGATGGTGTGAGCCCACTTTGTAGGTCCTGCAGCCCCCCAGGGTAGGAGGGAGCCGCAGGGAACAGCAGGGACCAGGACCTGCCCGGGACTCCACCTCCTGAGGCTTTGACCAGGTGATGGCAGCAGAGCCTAGGCTACAGGCTCCAGAGGTTTGTGCAGAGGGAGGGCATGCTGCCTTTGCCTTCACTGCCTGGAAAACATCGCTGCTTCCCTCTCCCCTCCCTCCCAGGGCACCCTACAACCAGGAGAAGAACCGGTATGGGGACGTGCCCTGCCTGGACCAAACCCGTGTCAAGCTGGCAAAGCCATACAGTCGCCCGGAGGTGAGGCAGCCTGGGATGGAAACTCACAGTCCTGCAGGAAGCTGACACAGCTGTCCTGGACACGGGGTTCTGGAAGCCTTATCTCATCCACGCTTTTCTCCCTGCAGCTGACTGACTACATCAACGCAAGCTTCATGGATGGCTACAAGCAGAGGAACGCTTACATTGGCACTCAGGGTATGGCCCAAGCCTCTGAGAGGTTATTCTGCTCCTGATGCAGCTGTGGGCTTCACCTTCCTGCCCAGTGGCAGCCACCAGCCGTGGTGGGGGACATCCCAGGAGAAGGACCCTACAGTGCCCAGCAGGTCCCCCTTCTCTCTGGGTATATTTACTCCTCCCTGGGTATATTTATTTCCCTCCCAGTCTCCAACCAGGAGGGAGTGGAGCTTTTCCTGGGAGAGAGCGAGTGGGTCCATCCTCCTCCATCCACGATAGCAGCCCCCTCCCTTCTTCCCCTATCCCAGCCCTGGATTTGCCCCATCTTCCCAGGGATGAGCAAAGATGGGGGATCAGTGCTGAACCGTAGGGGTTCAGTGCTGAGGGGACAATCAGTGGCAGCTCCAGGCAGGGCAGGTGGAGCCAAACCTGGGTCAGTCCCAAGAGGAAGGGACTGTGGTTCCCTGTGGGGATGATGGGGGGCTGGTGGAGCTGCTGGGCAAAGGGGTTTGCCCAAGTCCAGTAGGTTTTGGGCTGAAGTGTGGATTGTCCCTACAGGGCCTCTGGAAAACACCTATGGTGACTTCTGGCGCATGGTGTGGGAGCAGAACGTCCTGGTGATAGTGATGACAACCCGGTGAGTGCTCATGGAGGGACACAGACCTCTTTTTCTGTGCAAAATGAGCATTTTTGGTGCGGGATGAGCAGTGCTGGGCTCCATGCAGTGATGCTGCAGCCGTGGTGCCAGCCAGAGCTCCACAGCGGGGGGGCATCGCATCAAGAACAGACAGTTTGGTCCCTGCGGGATTCCTGAAGGACCAAGGCTGAGTGGCATGGGACATATCCCAAGCAGAGCAAGAAGGACATGACCAGCTTGTCCTTGTCCTGCTCTCAGGCTAGAGGAGGGAGGCAGGAGGAAGTGTGGCCAGTACTGGCCCCTGGAGAAGGATTTCCAGGTGTGCTTCGGGGCCCTGACCATCACCAACCTGGGCGTGGAGAACCTCAGCCATTACAAGAAAACCATTCTGGAGATCCACAGCTCGGAGGTGCGTGGCCACAGCTGCCTGGTGGGGGACAGCACGGGGGCACGGTGGGTCCGAGGAGGGGAGAGGGTCTAATTCCCCTGCTTTCCCCAGACCAGGGAGCGGCGGCTGGTGTCCCACTTCCAGTACCTGAGCTGGCCAGATTATGGCGTTCCTTCCTCCGCCGCCACGCTCATTGACTTTTTGGGGGCTGTGAAGCAGCAGCAGAGGGTGGCTGTCAGCACCCTGGGACCTCGCTTCAAGGGTCACCCGAGGGGACCACCGGTCGTGGTCCACTGCAGCGCCGGCATCGGCAGGACAGGTAACGGGTGCAGTGGAGGTCTTGGGGGTGGTGAGACGACAAGTCCAGCTTCCCTGGGACATTTCCATCCCAGGGATCCACAGTGTGTTTGCAAACTGGTTGACCTGGGATGCACGTCCTCAGGACTTACCACAGCCATCAGACCTGGGAGAATTCTCCAGATGCCTGTGCGAGATCGGTGTGGGGCTGAGAACCACCACTCCAGTTCTCACAAGGGGCAGCGACGGCGCAGTTTGGTGGCTGATGCCGTCCCATTGTTGTCCCCAGGTACCTTTTGTGCACTGGACATCTGCCTGTCGCAGCTGCAGGACGTGGGTACTCTGAACATCTACCAGACGGTGCTACGCATGCGGACCCAGCGCGCCTTCAGCATCCAGACCCCCGAGCAGTATTACTTCTGCTACACTGCCATCCTCGAGCACGCCCAGCGTGAGGGCCTGCTGCTCGCCAACCACAGCCGGGCTGCCCAGGAGAAGAGTTCACCAGGGCACTGAGATCCCCTGCCTCCCTGCAGACGCCCCCTTCCCATCCTCTGGGGGCTGCCTGAGCTGCCTTGGTGTCTGCCAGGACTCAGCTGAGCTGTTGGGGCGGCGGTGCCAGAGCACCTCAGCTGTTAGCACTGCTGTGGAACTGTGCCTTATTCAACCCAAACAGTAGCTGCCACTCGCCGGCACGGGAAGGGGCTCTTGCTCCTCCCTGTTGTGTTTTGGTTGGGTTTGGTTGCGTGTGGAGGTGGTTTGTCTTCTCTTCAAGTTGTTTTTTTTTTTTTTTTTTTTTTTATTTTGTTATTTTGTTGTTGTTGGGACCACCTAAGCTGTACCTAGAGAGGGGCTTTGCAAAGTTCTAGAAAATGTATTCCCACTCCTGGGGCTGGGGGAGAGGTGTGTGCTTTGGTCTGACCTGCCACTCCCTCTGTGTGTCTGTATGTATGTGTGTATATAATATACCCCTGCTCTGCTCCCCCGGCTATTATATAGATACATATATACAAGCTCCCCTTTAGCAGCTCCCGAGGATTCTCACTGTCCTGCCACCTCACTGCTGTGATCCCTGGAGCGGTGAGTTTGGTCCTGGCTCTGTCTTATCTTCCCCCTTCCCCTTTTTTCCCCTCATGGGCAGCACTGGGACATGGTACCCACTCTCATGCCTGTCCCACTGGAGGCACGAGGATGCTTGGTGGTGTCCCCCCCATTTCCTTGTCTCATCTTCCCTGTGGAGACAGCAGCTCTGCTCCCAGGAGGATCTGGAGGATTTGGGTTGTTGGAGGGGTGTGAAGCTCACAGGCATTCCCTGCCCCTTGGGGCACCACCACAGGAGTCACTTGGTACGAGGTGATGGGGACACAGGGACCAACTGGCTCACCAGGTTGCCTGGCTTTCCCAAGCAGCCACTGGGAACCTGCAGGCCCAGCCCTGCACTGAGTCACAGGCCGGGAAAGTGCTGAGCAAGAATAAACCCCAAAACCTGGAGAGGCAATGAGCCTTAGCCCCGGCCCCCACCACCACCTGGGCCTCCCCAGCTTTATACTGTAATAAGATCTTTGAATGTGTATATTCTTATTTTTTTATAATCTTGGCGGGGGGGTGGGTAGTTTTCATTTTGTAGTTCTTTTTTGGGTTTTTTTTTGGTTGTCTTTGTTTTTGTTTTTTTAATTTAACATTAACTTGATCCAAACCAGAACCAGAAGTATTTGTAAATGTTCCTATTTTGCTCCTGTTCAGAGAAACCTTTTTGTTGTTGTTCCTTTTTTGGGGGTTGTTTTGTTTTTTATTTGTATTGATATATAAATATACTACCAGTGACCAGTACTCTTTGCTGTAATGGGGGCATTGGGCAGGAAAGGAGAAGGAGGAAGTTTAGGGCTTTGCACAGGCTGTGATCCCCAAAAACAAGCTGGCCGCATCCCTGGGGACACAGTGACTTTGAGGGGCGTGAAGCTTTGTTTGGGGCTGCTCCTGGCCTGGGTGAGGCTGAGACAGATAACCAGGCTGCAGGCAGCTTTCCTGGGTGGGCAGGATAGTGGCAGGAGGGAAAGCAGCACGATGGGCTGTGCCTGGTAGCTGGAGCCACCCTGCTCCGAGCTCCTGCCTCCTTTCCCAGGCCCTTGCCAAGCCCCAGAGCATCAATCTCCTGTCTGGCCACCGCATCTGCCTGCTGCTGCCTTTTGCTGCAGGATTCGGGGGTGAGGGCATCGCCCCTCTGCTGCTGGACCTGCTCTGAGCAGGCATGTAGGGCACAAAAATTAGGGAGAATTCCCAGGCTGCCAGCCAGATCTAGCACCTTCAGGTGCAAGTGGTGCCAGTTCCAGAGCAGCAGCTACAGCCTGAGGCTTTGGGATGAGGGAAGCAAAAAGGCGGCTAGTGAAAATAAAGCCCTAGAGTCAGTGAGAGAGCTTGTGCCCCAGAACAGGGCAGCTGGCAAGTGTGAAGAGCAGCACCTGTGTTTGCTCAGCTGGAGTCTGTCTGGGACTGGCAGAGAAAGCAGCTTTCCCTGTGCTCTGGGCATGGACTGGCTTGGCTGTGCCAAACTGGGGCCAGACGCAAGGGCTGGAAGGCTGGAAAAGAACCACAGGCAGCAGGGAATCCATCTGGAATCCCTGCATGTCCCAGTGCCCAGGGGTGCATGAGAGGTGGGTGTTCTAAGCATCCCTAGAGCTGTGCACATCCTGCCTGTGAGCAGTTCTGTTTTAGGTGCAGTGTCCCATCCTTCCAGGTATCATTTCCCACCCAGCTGTGTTCCCAGAGCAGCATCAGCCCAGGCAGTGTGACCTGCAGAGCAGCTCCTCCTGCTCAGGCTGCCCTCACTTTCCTTTCGGGCAGCCCTTGCAGGTTGGCTCCTCCTCTGAAGGAAGGATCACTGGGCCCTCCCTCCTTACTGCCAACCTTCTTCACCCAGCTTGGGTTTTCTTCTTGACACACATGGAGAAAGGGAGTATTTGCAGCTGCTTGTCAGACACGTGCTGTCAGCAGCAGCTCTCTGTGGCTCAGCGGGGCTCTTGGCAAAGTGTCGGCTGCAGATCTGAAAGCTGCAGGTCATGCCAAGTGTCCCCGTGGCCCCGCAAATGTGCCCAGTCTCCCACAGGCTGCGAAATCCGAACCAAGCCCGCACTGTGCACATGGTAAAGGTGGTTGTGCCTTTTAGCTCGATTCCACAGTAGGCACAGAGAACCAAAACTTTTCCAAGGAGACCTGCGACCTGGATGTCTGATAGGATTACTACACAGAGGAGAGGGATGGAAATCACCACCACCGGCTCTAAATGGGAACGGCTTGGATATGCCGCTGCCACAGACCTCGGCAGCTACCTCCCTTCAAGGAGAGATGGAGATCCCATCTGTGCCAGAGGCAGAGGAAAGGGTTGTAAGCCTTTTCCATGGAAGAACAACCCACAGACTCACCCCCTGTTCCTGACTATTCCCAGGGCTCTGTTTCTTGTCAAAATGACCATTTTCAGTCCTCTTGCACAACACGAGGTTTTGTTCCATCCATTCCTTCTCCCTGTGCCAGCAGATCCTGCTCAGCACAGAAATGTAGATTTCTCTGGAAATGGTCACTTCATGCAGACAGCCATAAATTACTGGAAGTAAAAGCTTTGTGTTGTTTGAAGAGCAGTGGGAAAAATGGGCTGCTGAGCACAGGCAGACTGATGCCTGCAGCATCTCCCCTTCCTGGTGTGCCCCAGGGATGGGGATCAGCCACCATAGGCAAAACTCGCAGCATGGACAATTCCAAGAATGTGAAATCCGAAGTGCTGCTCAAGTGTGGAAATGGGGATTTAAAGCCATTGCAGGGAAATCCCAAAGCGGCGCTGCCATCCCTGTGCCCACCTGTTTCATTTGGCTTTCTTAGCTGCATGCACAACTCCTCGCTAATTATGATTGCTTAAGTGCTTGTAATTTTGAGTCCTGGGAGTTTGGGAAGCGTTGAACTCCGGAGCACTTAATTTCCCAGCCCTTCTCCTTCTTTGCCTCTGGTTTCCAAGGCTCAGGCTCGATCTCCAGCGGCACAGCATCCCGTGAGGGTTCAAACCCCGCTGACCAGAGCCCTTCCAGCAGCTAAACCGAGCTGCAGCTCCCGGACACATAGGAGAGACCCTCCTCTGCTGTGCCTGCTTGTCCTGGCAGCACCTGGCTGCCTGCTCCCTGACCAGGCTGAGAAAGGGAAAAAGAGCTGGAAAGAAAAAAAAAACCGAGAGATTTAAACCTCGTTTGATGCCTGAAATACATATTTTAACAGAAGCGTTGAGCGTGTGTGTTCGTATTTCACCCGTCCTGAGCACGCTCTGGATGCCCAGATGAGCACTAACGGGCGGTGAGGCCTGGATCCTCCAGCCCTGGTGCGGTGAACCCGGCAACTCCCTCGACAACTTTCTAAAAGGAGAAAAACACGATAATTAAACGCATTAACCCTCCACCTCCCGTCTTAGCGGAGGGGACCGCTCGCCACCCCCGCGGTGACCCGCTCCCTCACGCCGCCCCCGCCGTGGGCGGTGCGGCCGTGACGATCGGCACGGCGGGGCCAATCCGCTCCGGGGGGAGTTCCCCCTCCATTCAGGGCTGCTCGCCTGCGCGTTGAGGGTATGTAACAGCTGCTTTCCCCACACACACTTTCCCAGTTTCCCCCTCTCCCCCTTCACGGGAATCGCTTCCCACGGGGCGGGGGGGCCGGGAAGCCGAGGGACGAGGGACGGGAAGTGCGCGCGCGCGCTCCGGATCCCGCCGGCGGGAAGCGCGCGACGTATGGCGGGGGGGGGAGCGAGTCACTGAGTGCGTGTGTGAGGGGGGGGGAGAGCGGCTGCCGCGCTGGCCACGCCCCCTCCCCGCCACCCCATTGGCTGCGAAGGCGGATGGTAACGCCCCCCGCGGCGCCGCGCGCGCGCCGCCCACGCCCCCCCTCGGTGCGTGCGTGCGTGCGTGTGAGTGTGTGTATGTGTGTGTGTGTGTGTGTGTGTGTGTGAGAGAGAGTGTGTGCGCCGTGTCCCCCCCGCACGTGTAACCGACCCGCCCCACGTGGGGCGCCGCCATCCCGGAAGTGAAGGGGTCGGGGACAAAAGGCGGGCGCCGCGACGCCCTCCCCCTCCCCGCCCGGGCCCCGTCGCCAGCTTCCCTCTCCCGCCGCCCAACGGCTCGGCGGCGGGGCCGGAGGGAGGAGAGGGGGCGCCGCTCGCGCGGGCCGCGTCCGCGATGTAAACATTCCACAAAAGGGCTCCCCAGAGAGGGGGGCGTGGCCTTGCCCGTGGGAGGCGGGGCCAATCCCGCCGCGTGGGCGGGCTCCCCGCTGTGACGGCGGAGCTGCCCCGCTCGCCTATTAGCCGGCGCTTTCGGCCCGCAGCCAATCGGACGGCGGAGGGGGCGGGACGGGGGCGGGGCGCGCTGCTTATACGGACATTTTTCTTCGGCGGTCGTTCCCCCCCCCCTCCGCCCTCCCTTCCTCTCCACATCCCCTTCCTGGGGGCCGCGGCCAATAGGGGAGGTCTTGGTGGGCGGGGCCAGCGCGCCCATTGGCCGAGAGGGTGACGGGCGCTCGTCTCGCCCAACGGGCGCTCGGGGCTCCCCCCCTGCGCGAGGAGGGGCGGGATTTCCCGGGGAACAGAGAAGCGGGCAGCGCTCCGCCGCGGCGGCCGACAGACGGTTACTCCATCTTACCCCCCCCCGCCGAGCCCCCCGCCCCGCCGGGGCACCGGCGCCGACCCCGCCCGCCCCCCCCCTCCGGGAGGAGGGGCGCGGGGACCTCCCCCCTCACCGCACCGGGGACAGCCCGCCCCCGCCGCCCGCCCGAGAGGGGCCCGCCGCCCCCGGACCCTGAGGGAGACTCGGCCGCTGCCAGGGCCCGCTTCGAGGTAAGGGAGAGCGGGACGGCGGGGAGGGGTGGCCGCCGGGCCCGGGGCCGGCCCCCTCCGGCGATCCATAGGGGGCGGGGCCCGTTGCCGGTGCGGCGGCGGAGCGTGGTCGGGGGGGGGCCGGTCGGTGCCCGCGGCGCGGCTCCCCGGGGAGCCCCGGCCCGCGCGGGCGGCCGCGCGTCCTCCCGCCCCGCCCCGCCCCGCCGGGGTGTCCCGGCCCCGGCATGGCGGGAGCGGCGGGCGGAGCGTGCGGCGGCCGCTGGGCGCGCTGCGAGCCGGGCGCCGCCTCCTCCCCCCGCCCCTCCGCCCGCCCTCCGCCCGGTGCCGCTCCCGGGCTGCGGCGGGACCGCCCCCGGCAGCGCTCGCCCGCATTGCACGGCCCCGGTACCGGCCGCACCGCGCGCCGGAGCCGCCAGCGGCGCTCCCGCTCGCCCGGGGGGGCGTTCCGAGGGCGGGCGCGGGGCTCCCTGGGCTCCGGTGCTCAGCCAACTTCCTGGCGGAGTTGCCATGAAAGGGCTTTGCCGGACAATAACTCCCCGCGGCGGTCCCGCGCCGCCGCCGCCGCCCGCTCCGCACCGGCTTCGGGGTCACCGAGGGTTCCCCCGTCGCTTTTCGCAGTTTTTCAGCTCCGTACTGCAGCGATTCCTAAGAACCTGTTGGAGTGACGTGTGGATACGCGGAAACCCGAGAGCTCGTCGTGCACCCGTTAATTTTCCAGAGATTTTAATAGCGAGCTGTATCTCTCTGCACATCCTCTCCATTCTGTGCCTTGAACGTGCCAGACACTTGCACTTGGTATTTTATCGCCCTTTTAATTCTTCAGGCTACTGTAGATGTACAAAAAACTTCAGGGGTTTTTTTTTTTTGATAGCAGGAGGCTGGTGAAGTTCAGGCAGCTTTAAAAGTATGAGCGTGCTTGGTGTCTGCTTAACTGAATCCTGTTTTTTCTGCCTTTTCCTGGCCT